TGTACATAAGAACATGCGAGATGGGTGTAGGTGTGTGTACATACCCAGATCTAGTCATCGGAGATCTATGTCCATGATACGACTTGGAAGACCACTATGAACAGAAGCACAAGCATAAAGAAAATATACAATAAAATAATTAAATTATCTTCAACAAGGTTCACACAATCAATGACCAATGAATTTGCACTACCTTACTAGTATTTCATAAAGTCAGGTCATCATGATTTTATTGATATCTATCTATCTATCCATCCATCCATCCATCCATCCATCCCATATAGATAGCTGGGAAAGATATCCATTTGTGTATTTTTTTTTATGTCAAGTATCATTATATTGACCTGTTAGATTAAAAAATATTTTAATTATACCTACAGTGGTTTATAACTATTCATATTGTGATGTTATTTTTATTACTACTGTACAAAAGCCTCTACATGTCTATGCCTTTTCCATTCCTATCTCTCCCAGGACTGGAAACAATTAAAATTCCAACATTTCCAGGTTTGGAACAGTGCTTGAAATATAAAATCAAAATGGACCCAATTTTACTTTCTCAAATGTCTTTGATCTTACTGTGCACATCAGTGCATGTTATTCTAAAGAAAGAAAATTGTTCCATTAAAAACTTTCTCCGTATAATTGTTTCTGATCATGCTCTAGTAATTCTTTTGGCCCTCCCTGGCTGTTATATATCTTCTTGTGTTTGAAGAATGAATATATTACTTTTATCAGATAGCCATTTTGTTCAGTTTATCTCAGAAAAGATCTCCACATTTCTTGAAATCAATTCTACAGAAGGGATTTCTTCATTTTTACTTTGGGAAACACTCAAAGCTTATTTACGAGGAGAAATAATTTCTCGTTCTGCTTATATTAAGTTGAGTAATAGAAGGCTTTTTGAACTTTCTGAACAAATTGGTAAACTAGACCAGATTTACACGCAACACCCAACTCCATTCAGTGGCGCAAAAACCGGGTATGCAGTATATACAGTGTATAGGGGCACCACACATAGGGGGGGGCGCCATTTTGCCAAAATCATTCTGTGAAAATCTTCTTTAATAAAACGTTATAAATAATAAAAAGCTTAGTTATTAAAAATAATTAATGCAACATTTTTATTTAACGGTTTTTAGCATTTTAATGAGTTCAAAAATGTATTTATTAAAGGGGTGGTTGACTGGTTTTTTTATAGGCTTGATTGTGTTTATGGGGTGCAGTCTAACTTGTGTTAATGCTTCGTTTGTTAAAGAACACATTATTTTTCACATAATTTACCTTTATTCCACACCACTCTATCCCTTCTCCTCTGAACGCGCTGATCATTTCCTGCTTTTATGAAGCCCCTCCCTCAGAAATACACGATGGGCTCTGATTATTAGCTGGCCCAGTGTGTTGTGATTCAGTGTTACCCAATGGTCAAATGGTCAACACAGCACTCAAATTTCTAACAATTTCAAAACAGAAAGGTCAAAAGAACAACAACTATTTAAAATAGAAATCTTTCTAAACATTCTAAATATCTTTACTGATATATGATAAATCAGTAAGTCAATATGAAATTTAAATGACAGGCTATATTTATATTATGAAATTTCTATTAAAAACACAACTTAATCTGGTTTTAGCATGATTAGCGTCGCCCTTGCTAAAAAAGCATTCAGTAACCAGCCAGTGTTGGATTTTGAATGATGGTGTTCCTATCAGGTACCTTATCTAACTTAAACAGCAAGATTCCTTTGGTCGACAAGCTTCATCAGCTAAGTTTTGCTGGTTAACTGCTAGTTTATACCAGTCCACCAGGCCAAACCATCACGGACTAGCATGGAGGCTAGTCATTTCAGCAGGGCCTCCTGTCTCTTTCTCTCTATAATACATACAAATATGCTAACCCAAAAGTTAAGCTAAGTGATAAAGCTTCCTCTTGCACTCTCTCTCTCTAGCAGTTTGGCGCAGTTGAAATGAATTAGCTACAGCAATCCAATCCCATCATGCCCCAGCTCCTTATACACAAATACACAAATACATAAATCAATTCCAACGATTGCACGCTGACACATGAATAACTGTACACAACCTTCAGACCCTCCCTCCTCTACTCCGCTCCGATCTGCAAAAACAGCCCCTCCCTCAAAGCCAATCTTTATTTTTCCTCTTCTAACCTACAGCACCAGCAAACATTTGAATAATTATGCAAATTCTCATCCAGAAAAGTGTAAAAATAATGATCAATAGCCTATGAAAAATTAATCAGGACAAGACGAAGCATCTCTGTTAGCTCTTCCTCTCTCACTCTATCTTGCCTCTCATGATGAAAGAGTTCAAAAAGATTGAGAGTTTAAAGGGGTGGTTGACTGGTTTTTTTATAGGCTTGATTGTGTTTATGGGGGGCAGTCTAACTTGTGTTAATGCTTCGTTTGTTAAAGAACACATTATTTTTCACATAATTTACCTTTATTCCACACCACTCTATCCCTTCTCCTCTGAACGCGCTGATCATTTCCTGCTTTTATGAAGCCCCTCCCTCAGAAATACACGATGGGCTCTGATTTATTAGCTGGCCCAGTGTGTTGTGATTAGCTAAACCGCCTCTAGCGCACGTCTAAACAACCCGCCCCTCAACATAGCGGCATGTGCTCCGGTTGTATTGTAAACAATGACGTCGTCTATATTGCTTATCAATTTGAGCCCGATTGAGACGCAGAGGATATTAGTGAAGAGGATCACGCAGAACCTGTGCAAGCATGGCTTTTAATGGTAGGCCTAAGATTTTTGTTAAACACTGACTGATAACTTTTTCAGAGTTCATTGATTATATAAAATTCAGTGAAGGTTGACTTGACTATAGTTATCTGCATGTCTCATCCATGAGTGGGCCTATGCAATGATGGGGAACAAGCAATGGTGCAATGGTGGAAACACATGTTTGTGAATGGGCATTTGATTTACATTTGAGAGAAACTAAGATTGTAAACAAGGATACAAACTAGCCACTTTTCACAGAAAATTGCGTTGTAAATTCAAAATAGGCCATCTGTGTTATTCAAGTAGATTCAATGAGTTGAAAACTCTTGCTACTTCATACTTCAATACAAAGCAATGCTGAACTTTGACAAAAAAATAGATTTTTAAATGTTATAATAGTGATTTTATAATGTCTAAATATAAATCCATTAGCAAAACATCTGAAAAGAACTATATTACAGAGTGGAAATGGTAAAGGAGACAATAAATGATCCTCTGCTGCCATTTAGTGGTCATAGTAAAAATGGAAAAAAAAATGCAGATGTTCTTTAAAATAAATTTTACTATATAAAAATGTGCAAAAATATTAATAATTTTGTGACAAATTATATATATATTCAAATTACTTAACTAAAAAGTGTGCAAAAGTACATGTGTCTGAAAATGAAAATTTAAAAAATGTGTTCTACTGTCTGGGGTCTGCCATCAGGAGTTAAAGGGGATATTATGTGACACTTTTTTCTTTTTTTCCCCCCTTGTTTTTACTTTTCACTTTTTTCCCTATGGTATTAAAAAAAGGGGAAGGGGGTTCAAACCTTTGTAACATTTTTCCTTGTATCCTTCCATGCACAAGCTAGTAATGGGCTTGGTCATTGACTTGCAGAAAGTTTTCTGCGCAAGTTAGTGTTAGAGGCTACTAGAATACAGGGGGGCGCCGACACTGATCTTGCATACCCCTCGGCAAATGTGCAGTTTCGCCCCTGACTCCATTATAATATAATGAAAGGGATTTTTTTTGCAATCTGAATATAACCTTCTTTCTACCACCCATGCTGAGCAGCTTCTGCTTAAATCACAACACCATTTTTATGAGTTTTGGTGTTAAAGGAGTAGTTCACTTCCACAAAACACAAAAGAAGATATTTTGAAAAATGTTAGTATCGGAACAGTTGATGGGCACCATTGAATTCCATAGGAGAAGTCAATGGTGCCCATCAACTCTTCTGATACTAACATTTTTCAAAATATCTTCTTTTGTGTTCAACAGAAGAAAGAAACTCATTCAGGTTTGGAACAAGTGGAAGGTGAGTAAATGATGAGAGAATTTTCATTCTGAAAGTAAACTACTCTTTCTGGCACTACAACTTAAGACTTACAATTGCAAAAACTTATATCACCCAAATCCAAACCCAAGAAGGTAATATTATATCAGAACCCCAAGAAAGCGTGCCGCTACGATGGCGTCGCTGACGAGCGCTCTGTGCAAACTTTGCTGTTTCTTGTGTTATTTTGTATTATTCGTGTTACTTCTTATACATGCTTTTGCTCAGACAGTACAGACTCTCATCCAGTATGATCGACAAACACTACACTGTAAAAAAGGATTTGAGCCTTTAGCTTCCCCAACTCATTTTCCTAAGTCAGTTCAACTAAAATGTTGGGTACACTTAAGATATTAAGTTTACCAGTGCCCAACTAATCCGTTTAATCAGAGTAGTTCACGCAACAAAGATTTCTTAGTTGTATGAGTGGCAATGCAAGGAAACCCCGCCCACCGAGCCTTCCTCGCAGAACGCCATGCTTGAAGACTGACGAAAAGCTTCAAGAGTTCCAGAGGTAAGAGCAAACTTATGTCCAGCTTGTATTTATGAAAAATGTTTGATACATTAGGGTAAAGAGTAATATTACACAGGTTGTCAGTGTAATCCTCGCGGCAGTGTTGTACGGAGTGTAAAACATGGACAAAAATATATGTAACGTTATAGTGATCACGTATTTTAAGGTGTAACGTTAAACTAGATAAATACAGGGTTGTCAGTGTAATCCTCTTGCCACTGTTTTTATAGAACCCTGCACGTGATATGTGGACAAAAATATATTTCTAGTGGCCATGAATTAGTTCCCTCGTGATAGTGAAATCGTGTCCATGATTAATCATTCTTTCGCTGGACTGTTTTATTCAATTGTGGCCATGATGTAATTTGTTAACGTTACCTCATTTCTAAATAAATCGACTGAACAGTTTAACCCATCTTAAACGTTAAACCTTTATTTGTGTCCATTTGATTGTGATATATTTTAGGCCTTACATTTTCAACGGACATTTATCAGTAGCCCCTGCAAGGAAACCCCATCGCGTCAGAACAGGTGCCGCGCCACGGCTGACGAAGCCTCCATTTTGAATTAAGACTTCTTGATTGAGGTAAGAGCAAACTTATGTCCAGCTTGTATTGATGAAAATGTTTGTTAAATTAGGGTAAACTAGAGAAATATTAAACGGGTTGTCAGTGCATCCTCGCGGCAGTGTTGTATGGAGTGTAAAACATGATATGTGGACAAAAATATATTTATAGTGATCACGTATTCGTTTCTCATTTCATGAATTCATTATTTCGTTATAATTAGTTAACGTTAAGAGGATTGTTCATTTGACTTAATTCGTTCCCTGTTTTATTTAACTGTGGCCACGTTGTATTTCGTTAATTCTTTAATTAAAATGAGTTGTGGTGACATTGTAGTTTACCTCATTTTAATTAAAACGAATTAATAATTTAGTACAACATGGCAACAATTTACTGAAACAATTTTATTAAACGTTAGAAGATGAATTAATATGAGTCAATGATATTTTCACTGCAATAATGTGCACATTATTGCCACGTGTATTTAACAGAACTAAACTTTCGAGTTTTATATGTTCATTTGATTGTGATATATTTTAGGTCATAGGCCTAAATTTACAACGGACATTTAACAGAAGCCCCTGCAAGGAAACCCCACTGCCTCAGAACAGGTGCCAGGGCTGACGAAGCCTCCATTTTGAATTAAGACTTCTTAATTGAGGTAAGAGCAAACTTATGTCCAGCTTGTATTCATGAAAATGTTTGTTAAATGAGTAAAAGTACCAATTAAGGTCACCAAAATCTGCCTTGTGCACATTTTTAGTGCACAAGTTATTGGTTTCAGTACAAGAAGTTGTTAAAATTAAATATTAATCTCCCACATAATAATATGTAATTTTATTTGAAATACCAACATTTCAATTAAGATGTACATCATTAAATGTAAAAAGTCTGGCTGTGAATTTTTGTACCCTTTAAGCACACCACTTTTCCCAATAAGCTCACATCATGTTATATTAAAAATTCTTGTTTATTTTAAGCAACCTTTTTAAAGAATAATTGAAAAAAAAAATTATTTGAAGGTACAAAGTCAATCACAAAAAACAAAACACTAAATTCAAGCAACAAGGCACTCAATTTGATCAACTTTAGTATATTCTTAGCGTCATTCAAAAGTGTCAGTCAAACACATTGCAACATCAAGAAAGTATTGCATATTACTACAATATTACATTACTGAAAGCCCTTTAGCAGTAATATATGCACAAACGTAAAAGATGTTAGTCTACTTTGACTTTCTTTTTCTTCAGAGTTGGTGGCTGAACGGAGTACTACAGAGCACCCTATCCTGTGAGTCATATGAACTGGACCTGCAAGTTCTGCTCATTTTCTTCTGCTAATCAACGCAGCATAATAAGGCATTATAAGATAAAACACGGGCACTATAGTAGATCTTGCCCCTTGCCTTGCATCTATAGTGACTGTTTGTGTTCTTTTAAGACACAGGTTGCTCTTAAAAACCATTTGTTGAAGCATAAAACATCAGTAGTTCATCAGTCTCAGGCAACTGTTACCCATGAATCTCAGTCCAGTGTGGTAACTCATCGGTTACGGTGTGAATTGTGTGTGTTTTCTGAGCCATGTACTATTAAGCAATACTTTGCTCATTTGGGAACTCATTTGAAGAGTAAAGAAACCGTTATCTGTCCTTTTGAGCAGTGTCAGTTTAAGTCTAATGTGTATTCCACCTTTACTGGGCACAAATGTAGATATCACTGTAATTATGGGATTAACAATTTAAGACCTGAACTAATTTGTAATCACAGTCCAGCAGAAACCAGTGAGGAACAAATAGGAGATGTGGTTTCAGTAGAATATGATGACTCTCCAAATGATGATGATTAAGCCTCGTCACAAGCATTTCAATGCCCAGTTTTCCCCAGTGTTAACTATGCAAATGATAAATAAATGCCTCTTGACTCTTGACTCTTAAGGAATTTAAATCTTTTTACCTCTCATTGCATCAGTCAGACTCCCTTAAAGATCCTAATGTTATCAGTAGTTTTTTAATTTTTTTTTGATAATCTCAACATTCCTCAAATTAACCCTCTGAGGTCAAAGACCGCACCGGTGCGGTCGGTCCCGTCTTTTTCTTGATGACCTCGAAAAGAACTAAAAATACTCGGCCATTTCTGATCGTACAGATAAGAGTAAGGCGTCGTTTGAAACTGCAAATTGACTACTTTTATTTGTGTATAGTCATAATAACAACAAAACAATGTGCTTTTGTAAAATAAAGAAAATAAACAGGTTGTGTTTTCAGCCGTCTCAATCTCCGCAAATATCTTTCTGAAACGCGTCACTAAAATGAACCAGAACTCAGCGAATACTTCACACACCGACATGAGAAATATATCTATAGAAAGCTTGAAGTGTCTACTTTTAAATGAAGGAAGTCATGTCGAAAACAAATATTCTCTGATAAAGTAATTCGTATGAAACCAGCGCAAGGTCCAGTCGTTCACGTCTGAGCTCATTATCTGTAATGTGATCACGCCCAAGCGCAACGTGCTATTTTACACCCCTAATTTACACAGTGAATATTACATTTTTATTATTTTTTTAATAATATATAGTTTTTATTCATATTTTGGTGTAACTAGCGTTACAGTGTAAACACTCATATCACTTTTATATCGTATTGTTTTATATTTTACAGAACATAAAAAAACAACAACCTGGAGTCGTGAGACATTTAGATGCAATGAAATGAAACATTTCAAAATGTTTCACTTGATTTCATACATTTAGTCAGGAATTAGGCTATAGTTTGGGAAAAGTCTAACTAGTAAAGTGTGTACAAGTTACGTCACAATAACACAATAACAACTAATGCAAGTACCGTATTTGCCCGAATATAAGACGACCCTGATTATAAGACGACCCCCCTTTTTCCAGATGTACCCATTTAATGGCACACTCGTTTTATGCGTATTTGGCGCCACTATTGTTGTGGGTGTATTATTGACATGTCAAAGTCTAGACCCTGAATATAAGACGACCGCATTTTTTCAGATGCATTTCCAAGAAAAAAACATTGTCTTATATTCGGGTCAATACGGTAAATAAAACATGACTTACTCGTCAGAAATGATCTCCTCCGCTGCTCAAGCCATGTGTCGCATCGTGTTCTTCTTCTGAGGTAAATTCTGGCTTATTCCTCACAGCGCGTCTCTTCCAGAAACGAAACGTATCCGAGATGAACTTGATGAATCTTCACACTTTGTTTTCGGAGGTGATGTGGGATTTTACATGTTTGTGTCTCACGTGGATGATTACCATATGAATAGCGCGCGCTGCACTTGGGCGTGATCACATTACAGATAACTGAGCTCAGACGTGAAAGACTGGACCTTGCGCTGGTTTCATACGAATTACTTTATCAGAGAATATTTGTTTTCAAGATGACTTACTTCATTTAAAAGTAGACACTTCAAGCTTTCTATAGATATACACTACCGGTCAAAAGTTTGGGATCAGAACGATTTTTAATGTTTTTTTACAGGAGTTTCTTATGCTCATCAAGGCTGCATTTATTTGATCAAAAATACAGGAAAAAATTTTATATTGTGAAATATTATTATGATGTAAAATAACATTTTCCTAATTTATTCCTGTGATGCAAAGCTGAATTTTCAGCATCATTTCAGAATGATGATCCTTCAGAAATCATTCTAATATGCTGATTTATTATCAGTGCTGGAAACTGTTTGCTGCTTAATATTTTTTTGGGAACCTTTAGAAATTGAATTGAATTGATACTTTTTTTCAGGATTCTTTGATGAATAAAAAGTTAAAAAGAAGAGCATTTATTTAAAATAGAAATCTTTTCTAGCAATATACACTACAGTTCAAAAGTTTGGGGTCAGTAAATTTTTATTC